TTCAGTGATCCTGGCAAGACCACAGCCTGCTAAATCTTCCTGACCTCCACAGCCAACTCTCTGAACTTCAGACACCATTTGCAGTCCTGAGAACTGCAAAGTTCAAGGAGGTGGAAAAAAAGCAGTGCAGGGGGCCCACTCTGGGCACTCACATGGTCTCTTCCCTGTGGGCGGCCATCCTCGCACGTGATTTGAGTTACCTCCCTGGCTGGGTGAGAGGCGCTTAGGCACAGCTGTGTCAGAGCTTTCCCCACCCTTCTCCAGGTCCGAGGGCTTGTCTGTGCAGAGATGTGTCTGGCCACTGCCCCGAAGACCCAATCGTCGCCCCTGACCTTGGGATGCTGTCCTCATTAACCTTCATTGGATGGGTTTTCCCTGAAATTTTTTGTTCCCCAATAAAAGTCCACTCCTTGGCATGTTCTGTCTCGGTAGCCTCTTCAGTAAACCTTGCTACCGCATTAGGTGGCTGGAGTTTGGAGCTAGGAGAAGCGTCCTGGGAGCTGGTTTTAAAGGTAATTAGAGTCTGGTCTCTTTAATTTCAAACTCCCTAGCGTTTACTTTTTTAAATGAAGCCAGCGCTGGTGGCATGGCTGACTTCCCAAGTCCTCCTGCCATGCTCTGTGGCTCATTGTGGGTGGGTGGGGGAGGTCTGGTAGTCCTCTGGCTGGGAGAAGGTCCTGCAAGACATGGCCTGCCTCGCAGGGTACAGTGCCTCCTCTCTGTGAGTGATCCTGCCTTCCTTTCTCCAGCCTCCCCGGGATGTTCTAGGCTTGCTAGCAGGTTTTCTCTACCTTAACACCAACGCCCTTGGAGAGAGCTCCTAGCAGCTTCCCTATACCAACTGAAAGGGTGGGAAAATCAAAATGACAAGAAGCACCCTGTTCCTCATATATTTCTCAAAACTATCTGGGAATCAGAGTTCCAAATAGGACTGGCCAGGCCAGGCTCTCTTTGCTTCTGTAGGGTTTGGGAATGAGATACACAGATAGATACATACCTAAACCCTCCGTCAAACTTCTCTGCCCTGCCCAACTTCTCTGCCCTGCCCAACTTCTCTGCCTTTCCAATTCCCCTGGACTTAGGGCCAAAGATCCTTGCTGAGTCTGTATACATTTCTTTTTCATTATTTCTGTTTACCTGGGTGGCAACTTTTAAATTTAAAAGCCAAGAGTTTAGTACATTTCATCTTTGCTATAGAAAGTTTCTAAAACAGCCATTCTCAATCTTGGAAACACACTGATATTACCTAGAGAGTTCTCAAAAAATAAACTAGTATACCTGGGCTGTGGAGTCCAAATATCAGAAATATCACAAAGCCCTTTGTCAGGTGCTCATGCACAAGGAAGCTGGGAACTAGAACTTCAGAAACATGGGTACCCAAAGGGATGGTAAGGAAAGAGCACATAAATAAATATCTCATGTAATATCCTGTCACAAAATCCAGAAAGCCGGGCATATGGAGGCTAAGAAATTTGCTTTAGATTGCACAGCTAGTAATTTTTCAGAATGGGAATCTAACAGAACCCTGAGGCCCTTATTCTCCTTCTAAGTTTTACTAAGGTTGGTTTATGGGCCAGAAGAGTATACTTTATCTGTCCTTCGGACTCCTTCCTCCCATTTCTGTCATGCTCACCTCCCATAGGTGAGCCTGGCACAGTATATTGTGAGTGATCTGGAACTGGTTTAGGCAAGGACTATTGACGCACAGCATCCATTGGGCTATTGAAGTCTCTGCCAGGTCACCTCCTAACACTGACTTCCTCAATAAGACTTCTAAAGCACAAGAAGTAAAATCAAGAATCAATAAATGGGATGGTATCAAAAAAGCTTTTTCACAGCAAAGGAAACAATTAATAATGTGAAGAGAGAGCCTGCAGAATGGAAAAAAAAATCTTTACCACATGCACCTCAGTTAGCATGTTAATTTCTACAATATATAAAGAACTCAAAAAATATAGCACCAAAAATTCAAATAACCCAATCAGTAAATGGGCAAAGGAACTGAACAGATACTTGTCAGTAGAAGAAATATGAACAGTCAACAAATATATGAAAAATGTTCAACATCTCTAGCAATTGGGAGAAATTCAAATTAAACTACACTGAGATTTCATCTCACTCTAGTCAGAATGGCAATGATCAAGAATACAAGTCAAAATAAATGCTGTCGAGGATGTGGGGGAAAAGGTACACTTACACATTGCTGGTGGGACTGCAAATTGGTGCAACCATTCTAGAAATAAGTATGGAGATTCCTCAGAAAACGTGGCATAGAGCCACCATTTGACCCCGTTATCCCATTCCTAGGTTTATACTAAAAGGACTTAAAATCAGCATACTCCAGTGAAACAGCCACATCAGTGTTTATAGCAGCTAAATTTCCAATAGCCAAGCTATGGAACCAAACTAGATGCCCTTCAACAAATGAATGGGTAAAGAAATTATGGTATATATACACAATGGAATATTACTTAGACATAAAGAAGAATGAAATTGTAGCATTTGTCAGTAAATGATGGAACTGGAGAATATCATGCTAAGTGAGATAATCCAGTCCCAAGATACCAAAGGTTGAATGTTCTCTCTGATATGTAGATGCTAACTCATAACATGGGAGGGTAGGGAGAGGAAGAATATAAGTCTATTGAATTAGACAAAGGGAAATGAAGGGAATGAAAGAGAGAGGAATAAGAAAGTAGAATTGATTGGACATAACTTTCCTATCTTTATATATGAATACATGACCAGGGTAACTCCACATCATGTTCAACCACAAGAATGGGGATCCTAATTAAAATAAGTCATACTCCATGTATGTATAACATGTCAAAATACACTCTATATGTGTGTCTAAAAATAACAAATTTTTAAAAATTCAAGGAAAATAAAAGATCACCCCCTGAGTGATCTAGAATTCATTGACCAGTTCCATTTCTGCTCAGTGACTTCCACATAGAGTAGTTAGCTATAAGAATAATGAATAGGAGGGATAAGATGACTGTGTGAGTAAGCTTTCAACAAGTTAAGGAAATTCACCATTATAAATGATAAGGAAAAGAAAGGATACAAAATATGATATTTTGATAATGTGTTGACTTCAATAACCTTGGCTAAACACTGTTTTAGGGGCTCATACAACTTACCTGGTTAATATCTTCATCTTTCAAGTCTCGGCTGAATTGCAAAGCACCCTTCCTTTATCTGCTCTTACCAGTCTCAGTTAGGAGGCCTCCCTCTGTGCACCCAAAATGCAGATTCACCTTAGGCAAGGCCCTTACCACAAGGTATTGCTTCCTAAGGGATCTGACTTTCCCTCCTTTTCAAAAGATCATGAAGGGTTAAAAAAAAATGTCCTTCCTCTATATCCTAAGCATCTAGCATAGTCTGCCTCACAGGAGATGTTCAATAACTATTTCTGAATTGATACTAATGTTTTATGATTTAAACAATGATTAAAATATTAAAAATGATCAGTCAGAAAAATGAGTCACAGTGTGGATGAAAGTTTGATGACTCAAGTTAGAAAGTCATTAACTATTTTTAGCTCATTTTAACAGCTGGTAGTCAACCCTAACCTGGTATTTAGTTTCCAGGGTTAAGAAGACCAGAACAACTGAATAGACTCTAAAAGTGATTTAATCACTCAGTCATTACTTCATGCATGCCTGGTCACTATCACCAAGTTATCCAAAATTCCTGGGCTTGGGATTATATACAAAATAGTACTGACATGTTTGTACATGTGTCAGGAAACCTCGAATATAATTTCTTTCAAATAAAAATGCAAGGGCCCCTTAATGTCCATTAGTCTATTCTTTGATACTAACTTGGGCATGGATACAATATAACCTTCTGGTTGTTTGCTTTCCAGAGATGAATTTGTACAAGACTCTTTGGCAGGAATCATGAGAGATGAAATACAATATACATGCTCAACCCTACTGGCCTTTATCTCTATTTTAAGAGAGAACAAGAACAGCAGCTCCCTAGATGGCAAACTATCCCAGGCCCAGTGAAAATAAAAACTATACTGTATTCACAGATGAAATTTGTGTAGATATTGAAAAGAATGAAGATCTGTAACAGCTAAAGACCAGTGGGAATGAGACAGCAGCTAACAATTCTTATTTTCTTCCATGATTTCTAATCATATATCAGACAACCTTCAACAGGACTGTGGGTTTCTTTCTAGTCTTCTCTGAAAACACGAATGCCTCTCAACCTATGAGGACAACCTACTGCTATTGGATTAGAAAATAAACACATACAATGCTTATTTCCCGTAGATTCCATATTCATGAATTTCCCTTCTCACTAAAAATTGTTACAACAAAGTCCATAATCCCAGCAGTCTTCACTGGAATTTGGAATCATGGACAAAGATCCCCCCCGCCCCCCAATGCATAGGCTTTCCCCAAGATCAAACAAGACTGCTCAGCCTTCTTGTTTCAGTTTATATTCCATGAACAAGCATCCCTTTCCCTAGCCTATAAATAGGCCATTTTGAAGATTTATTTGTAATTTTACTGTTTAAATGGCACCCATGTGTAGTATGAAGCGCTGTCTAGTGTTCCTAAGTGTAGGAAGGCTGTGAAGAGCCTCTCAGAGAAAATACAGACATTTCATAAACTTAATATACTTTGTTTCAGTTCTAGGTAAGTGCTTTTGGCTGTTTGCTCAATGTTAACCAATCAACAACATATATTAAGCAAAGTGTCTTTAAACAGAAATAAAACAAAGTCATGTACTGATCAGTTGTCAAAAACATTGGACCCAAGGCTTGCAAGAATCTGTGTATCTCGGCTCGGAGTAATGGTTCATTATTGAAAGCCCACACTCCCCTCCTTTCTCACGGGGTATTTTCCCATTGTACTGCCCTGCACCGGTTTGGTTTGAGCCAGGCATTTCCAGTGCCAGAAGTGGGCGCCTTTCGCCAGCTGTGCAGGGCGGCCGGCAGGTGGCGCCGAGCTCCGCACTCTTTGCAGCGTGGTGTGGACCGGGTGGACTGGAAGGGGCGGAGGTAACAGAAGCGGCCAGTGGTGGCCGCTCGCAGTCCCCCACCCCCTCCACGTAGCTCTGGAGACAAGCGCCTGGAGAGGGCGCGAGCTCCTGGGCCAGCTGTGTTCCGAGCTCTGCACCGCTGCATCTGCTTTGCGAGGCACCCGGCGTCCCTGCCGCGCTCAGTTCGAAGTCGGCCACCATGGAGGCGCAGGCACAAGGTGAGTGGTCGCCGATCGCCCCCGAGGGTCGACTCTCGAGGCTCACGTGGAGGCGCCTTTTCTGTATCACCTAACTTTGCCTTCGGACAGAACGGTTTGGTGCCATCCTACGCGTCCGGAACTCCGCTCCTACGCGCGCCTTCGGAATACGCTTTCTTGCCAAACTCAGCATTTGCTGTGGGGTTGGGGATCTGTGAAGGGGCCAGGGTTCAATAAATGGAGCGGTCTGTAGGCAGGAAACGCTCTAGTGGAATGTCCTAACCCTTTCCGCAGTCAGTCTCCCTCAACCTGGCGGGTACCCAAAGGACCTGTTGTCTAGGGTCCGGGATCAGCCAGCGTTCCCTTCCCATTCCTGTCCCAGGAGTGGGGAGAGAGCGCGGCTTCTCTCCACCCAGCTGTGGGCTCGCGTGCTGCGACTCCCAAATGGAGAGGCTAGAGGGGCGCACGGTGAGGTGGGGTCTTGCTTGGGGATCGGCCTTCCAGGGGAAAGTGAGTGGTACCAGCCCCCTGACCTCAGCAAATACACAGGTGTGCCGTGGGTTCCAGCCGTAAGGGAGTGATCTCTTCCTCGGCAGCCGCTCTGGGCCCCAGGCCGGTGTTTGGCAGTCCTCTCCGCGCGCTACCCGGGCCACCGGCTGGCGGAACCAGCGGTGGCTTCACGAAGGGTAGCTTTATATTTTTAGGGTCACCATTGAACAAGGGTTGGGAAGATCCTATTGAATCGTCCAAGAATGGAAATCAACGCACGGTGGAAAGGGGTAGAAGTGGGCGGCTCTGGAGCCAGGGACAGGTAGGAAGGAAATTGACTCCGGAGTCAACACTGGGAGCCACCCTCCAAAGGAACGGGTTGCGGAGTTCAACCTGTACCACAGTCTTGGCCACCTTTCTTCAGGCTGCAGGGAGGGGGTGTGTTTTTTAAACATAAATAAAAGTCCATCTAAAATGAAGACCCCATGCACGCGCCCTCTAGGGGCAGAAGCGTCTTGAAGGAGGGGGATTTGGCAGTGTCTTAAGTCACCCAACAGGTTTGCTGCCGACTACAAAGGTCTGAAGAGCAGGAATTTTCTTTGATTCCATCAGCCAAGATCCTGCTCAGAAAGCTGAGGCTTTCAGTATTCCTCTCCTGTTATGTAAATAGGAAAGGGGAATTCACCCAAGGGTGAACCTTGTTCCAATTAAAGAAAAAGTTATTCAAGGATGTTTGTGACGGCCCGTTAAGGAAAACTGTTCAGGACTATGGAAATACTGTGGGGACCTGTGGGACAGGGTTTGGGCTCAATTCCAAGTATGGCATGAGCAGGTGGGAATGTACAGCCAAGGGGCAGTGTGGGAGTCTGTGGGTGGAAGATTACTAAGAGAGAACATCAGAGGTAAAGGGAACTTTGGCTAAACCCATCCAAAAGGATTCTTGCTGAAACCTGGCCAATGTGATCAGTTATCATGTGGGGGGATAGTGGAGGGACCTGGCCAGATATTGATGATGATCAGGTATGGAGGATGGGGGGCCTCTGACTAAACTGGTTTAGTAGTTCTTTGGTACAACTGAATTTTACAAGGGAGAGCACAGATCAGCCTAGGGAAGGTCCAGAAGCCTGATAAAATTGGCCAAGCTGAAAGTCTTTGATATTGGTTAAAGAGGTCTACTTGAAGGCCTTCACAACTGAACTGAAGCAGGCAGAACAATATTGGAGATGCCCAACCTGATTTTGCAGATTAGAATTATTTGGAGATACTCAAATACATTTGTCCCAGGGTATCAGTGAGAGATTGGTTTCAAGACCCCCAAAGAGACTAAAATCCAGGGCTACTGTAGTTTTTTATATAAAATGGTATCGTCTTTGGGTGTAACCTATGCATATGCTCCCAAATATTTCAAATCGTCTCTACATCACTAATATTACCTTATACAATACAAATGCTGTGCAAATCATTGTTATACTTTCTTATTTAGGAAATAATGACAATAGAAAAAAGTCTGTACATGTTCCAAAAAAATTTTTTAAAAAATATATTTCATCCATAGTTGATTGAATCCAAGGAAACAGACACCTGTAAATATGGAAGGCCCCTGGATTCACCCTGGCTGACCCCATACCAATCAAATCAGAATCTCTGGGGCCTAGGCATGGGTATACATGAAGGCTTTCCAGGTGATTCTGTTATTCAATGAGGTTGTAGAACCTCATTGGATAGAACTTTTTTGAGTGGGGAGAGCTAAATGAAAAAATTAATTCTATGATTTCCAACATATTATAAGCTTCTACCTTCAGCATAGTTTATTTTAGAATTATCTGGAGCAGGGATGATGTATCTTTGTACCTCTTTCTCTTTGCGTCTCTTAATCTAGAACAGAGATGTGTGAGGTTCAGCAGGCATCTGCTGACCAGATGGCTTCTTGCACTGCTGAGGAGACCACCAGGGTGGTATGGAAATTATTTGTACATGTAATTCAGAAAATGCAATAGTGGGTCCTAAAAACTTTCTCACCAGTGAAATTCTGCAAATATGTTCTTTAAATTTGTGAAAGACTAGATTACTTCCATCAAAACAAGACATTCTAGGGAGTTGGCAGGATGGGAACATGAAGGAGGATTACCAGTGGAAAGATTCATCGAGAAGGGCTGGAGATGGATTGGAATGAGAAGTCCACAGAGGAGGGCATTTCCAGTGACTTTCCACTGGAACTGAGGAATTTTGCTTTCATAGTCCCCGGTGTAAAATGGTTTGGATAAGATTTTTGAACTTATGGTGGAGACAGAGTGATATGCATTTTGAACTTTGATCTTTTCCCATGATAGCAATAATGCAGTGTGGTGCTGTCTCCTGATGTTGGGTGGTGGCAGTGAACTACAACTGCTAAACAGCCTCACAGTCACCTGGAATAACAGTTCACAATCTACAATGAGCTGTGTTGCTAAGCTGTGCTATTTGGTAGGTTAGGTGGATTAAGTGCATTTTCAATTTAGGATATTTTTAGTTTATGAAGATTTCTTGGTATATAACACATCTTGGAAAAGTGAATTTGGTTAAGAATATAGCATTTTCCTGATAGTCTTTTAAAATAAAAACTTCCTGATACGTTTTAACTACCTTTCAATTTTTTATTACTCTAGATTATAGTAGCTTTGTTATTTTTGCCTTTTCCAAAATCTTTAATGCTAAACGTAAAACTTCCCTTTAACACTTTTATGTATTAAAATTAATAGCTGGGCTGGGGATGTGGCTCAAGCGGTAGCAAGCTCGCCTGGCATGCGTGCAGCCCGGGTTCGATCCTCAGCACCACATACAAACAAAGATGTTGTGTCGGCCGAAATCTAAAGAATAAATATTAAAAAAAAAATTTCTCTCTCTCTCCCTCTCTCTTTAAAAAAAAAATTAATAGCTGTATTAGTTTCCTATGGCTGATGCTATATATCACCACAAACTTGCTGGCTAAAAACAACAGATATTAATTTACAATTCTAGAGGACAGAAGTCTAAAATCGCTGTCACTGGGAAAAGTCACAGTGTTGGCAAGGCCAGACTCCCTCCAGAGAGTCCACAAAAGAATCTCTTCCTTGCATCTCTGAAGTTTCTGGTGGCTTCCAGCCTGCTCTGGCCACATCACCCAATCTCTGCCTCCATAGTACTTAGTCTTCTCCTGTCTGTGGCAAGTTCTCTTACAGAAGTACTCTAGTGTCTGCTTGTCTTGTACAGAAACACTTGTATTTTCATTTAGGATCCTCCTGGATAATCCTGAATAATTTCTCCATCTCAAGCTCTTAAAGTAAATCATATCTGTAAAAACCACTTTTCCATATAAATTAACACAGATTCCAGAAATTACAATGATGTCTCCTGGGGTCATTATTCAGCCTACTACAATAATAAGCTTTTCTTTTCAGGCATTCAACTCAGGAGAATTCTCAGAAGTCCATGAGTGACATAAAGTAATAAATATTGGATTATTCCTGTTTGCAAATTCCATTAAAATGAAAATGTTGCATTACCTTACATTATACTTTGCTCCTGGGACATTTATTTACTCTTATCTTGTTCCAGGAAGGCTTCAAACCACAGTACTGGAAAAAGCCACAGTACTGAAAAAAGCCAAAAAAGAATGTATCTAACAAAATTGTTGGAGGAGGTGGGGAGATCAAGAGGATTTGTCCTTAAAGCTACCCTAGCAATCTCTGTGTTAAATTTCTGTGGTCTAAAGTGGCAATCACATGAGGGTCTCTGCCTCAGTCACCTGCCTGGCTTGCTGTCTATTTATGAAGATGTTCACCATTAGTGCTATTCTAGAATTCCACCAATAACACCTGAAGCCACTTTTTAAATTTACTGAGTTACCATTCAAATAAGAGCACATAAAAGATGACTGCAAAAAGTGGATTTTTCAACCTTGTAATTTTACTGTTCACTGGGTGTTTATGAAATAAAATGTACTTTATTTTAAGTGAATGAATTAAATTAAGAGTTATCAATAATATACCAGGGAAGATAGCAGAACATTTTAATGCATTAGAAGGAAGCTTTGGGTCCTCAATGAATGATGCATTTTGAATAGTTTTTCACAGTATGAATTGTTTATAAATGTTGCATTTTTATGTGGAGAACAGGAAATGAAGCTCGCAGAAATAAAACCGAAGTCCACAAGAATACCCTCTTGTCACCAACATGTTGGGTCGTTTTCAAAAGGCAAAAATCTGGCACTTTGATATAGTCAAATAACATACTATATATTGAAAATGCATGTCTGTGTTATACTTCATATTCAAATTTGCCTACAGTTATTTGCATCTTGCCCAAATTACATTTGTCCTGACATATATCTAAAATATGGAATCCTCTTCAATCCCTTGGAAATTGCAAAACATATTTTTCTTTCAATTAGAAATTTCTCTTTTCAATCAAAAGCAAGAGTACCTTGTCAAGGATCTGGAAAGCAAAAATGATTCATTCAAAAGAAAACAACAATTTGGGATTAAGAAAGTGGGAGGGGATTTCATAGATTTCTC